TGTCTTAACAGAGCGTTTTTTAGAAAATACCACAAATGACACCTCTCCACTGCTCTATGGGGGCGCTCAGTGGTACTCGCTAGAACATGGAGACGAGAAAAAAAGACTATGAATATGGAGCTCATTTGTTTAATTCCAATAATAACAAAAGTGAAATATTAAACCTACTTAACTGTTTGAAACTTTAATTAATAATTATCCACCGAATCACTGAGTGCTAGCAGTTGTCGCTTCAATAAGAAAAAATCAATCGCAAAACATTTTAAAAAGGACCAAATCATTTTACTATTTCTCATTATACATTTTTAAATGCATTATGGCCGAAACGCAATCATTATCATANCACTCTTTAATAATATAATTTAAAATGTTAAAATCCGTCCAAAATCTGTAGGATGAATATATTTTGAGCCTTTTCAGTTTTAATTTTTATATGCATATGAGTGCCGAAACTATTAGTTCTACTTCAATGAAATTTTGACAGTGTAAACTGATTACATATTACCTGTAACAATCGGAGCGACATTTTGGATTTAATCAGTGGTTTTTAAATGGACCAGCATTGTGTATCGTAATCATTAGTGGACGTGTGATTACAGTATGATCATATTCCTTTAGTAGAGAAAACGTTTCACAAGATTTTCCGGACTTTTCCAAGTTATTTTCCCAGGTTACGCTGATTTTCCGTAACATAAAAAGTGGACAACCTGAGAACCTGTTACCCCGTTAGCTAATGTCAATCTCATGATGTGTGAAAACAAGTTTTTCTTGGTATTTTTATTTAGTGACTAACACTATAACCAATTAATTAAATAAAACGTTTCTTCTTGTGAGTAAAATCTAATTTAATGCTTGAAAACAACCCAGTTGTTAAAAAAATTATACCAAACTTGGTTAACAATTCCGGTAGCAATAAATGTAAGAAGAAGAAGGTGCGACAGCCTGTAATGTACGTATCCCTTCTTGCGCTCAAGTTAAAACTAGTTTATCTGCGGCGCATATTCTCGACCAAAAGGTGGAAAAAACTTGCGTAACCTCCTCGGAGTGAAAACTGAGGTTAAGTAAATAACAGAAGCCGCTCGTTGCTCTCACCTTGGCCGCCTAAGATTACGCTTATTGCCATTACTGACGCTAAAGAAAAACCTGTCGACTAGTCTATCTATATTCCATAAATATAACCAATGGTACGCCCGAACAGAAACTGATTAGTTTGCTTCCTAGAAATACTCCGCGAACGACACGACTAAAGCCCGTTTTTGCTACTGAGTTTATAACTTTTACTACACAAAAAAGTTGCCTTAACTAAGATATATTTTATTAATGATATCCTTTTACCAGGAAAACACAACTAGTAATTTTAATAAAACTACTTCTGTTGTTCTAATAACAATTTTTATCGAAAGAGTTGTCAAGCCTCCAACATCTAAAACTCTGGATTTGCAGAGTTTGGTGGATGCGCCGGGGAAAGTGATCCATATTGCTAACAAACAAAACAGTTGATGATAGTTCTAAATAAAATAATGGGTCTGATAATTTACCTGTACTCCATAAATCATATGTGAAATTTGAGATAAAGGCACATCTGTAGAATGGTTAGCGCAAGATCGGTGAGTGAAAAGAAAGAACTCGATGGTGCACTTTGGTCGAAAGGGTAGTAAAAAGTCGACTTGTCTGTAACGTATTAACCGGAACCCAGTTGGCTTTGTTTGGGAGACTGCGGCGACATCGTCTCTCTTGGTTTCTAGTTTTTGTCACCGAATATCTTGAAAACTAGCGGTGATATTCTTTGGAGACTCTTCAACGCTACAAGCTACGTCTTGGCCCACGACGACTCATCCTATTGCTTTCTTTTTTATTTACTGAGTTTAATTTCCGCCATAAAAATTTGTTCCAAATTTTAATTATCAAGTAGACAATATTAAAATTAAATTTGAAAACCCATAATTTTTGGCTTAGAGTAGGTTCTTCTACTCTATCAAATCATCTAATGATCTAATATTGATTAAAATGTTTAATTACAATAAACCTTATAATAGAATATTATATATTATGCCAAAACAAGTGTTTCCATTCCCAAAGTTACCCATACATACACATTTAGGTACAAACGTAAGATTATTCTGCAGTAAGCTTCATTTAAAGTATCTCAATAAAATTTTATTTGTCCTCTAATTTTGTATCATTTTATGCAAATTATCACTTTTGTACATAAATTTAAATATTCCCTAGAATAAAATATGAAATACTAATGAAATATTTAATGGCTTTTAAATTTCTGAAAACCCTTGAAAAATGTTTGAATCATTTACTTCAAATTGAACTTGCAAAATAAGAAACAATTCTCTATATCGAAAACTAAACGAAAATTCGTTCACTGTATTAGAAAATCCATTTTGGATAAGCAGTTGTTAATGGTCCTATTTATGCACTTTGAATTATGCAACGACGTAGTCCGAGATTTATAAATGTCCAGTTTTCTGCAAATGTCCTGAAATATAGTACCCGCAGGTACTCCGAATCGGCTGATCAGGTGTTTGAGAAATTGTTCTGCTACTGTGGTCGCTGTATGGTTGAGTTGGTTCTTCAACCCATTTCGTGGAGTAGTCATTACAAAGTACTTATTTCCATCATTCGTTTTTGAAAACGGTACTACATCTATGGCATTTTTTGGAATGGACTGCTGATATTATAATGATGCATGAGAGTCCTTTGCTGGCTGCGCAAATCTTGCACCTCCAATACTACTCTTCAGCATTCTTCTTACAGCTGATCCAGTGAAATCGTTCACTTATATTTCCAACGGTCTTACTAACAATATTCCCATCCAAAGAACCGTCATGAAGCTAAGGTATGATTTCCTTCGCAAGTTCCTCGGTACTATCAGGTGGCATCTGCTTTCACTCCTGATCTCTAGTACTCGCTCTAGGACACCACCTTTTTCATAGACTCTCATTGACAAATTCAGCACTCACTTTTGGCCATGCCGGTCATAAATTCTTCCACTTTCGAAACATTTTCAAAATTGAATCGAAGTTCTGTTCAGACTTCAGCTTCATGTTCATAACTAAGTTCCGGTGTACAAGGCGTGTGTATGTGAGCACCTTTCTAGTTCTTGCAAGCACTTTCTTACATGGCCCAACTTCCCGCTGTTCCAGTACATTACTGGACTCGGTTTCTTATTGGCCTTATGTACTACTTGGTGTATAATATCTTCAAGCTTATCGTGATTCAGTCCATCTAACTCCTCATGTAGCTCATGTACTCTACGTTCCATGGTTCGTTGATAAGAGTTCTTGACCTATCCAGTCCCTCAATCCATCGATGAAGAATCGGATGTATTTGGCTAGACGAGGCGGACCAGACGTGCAATATCTAGCAAGTTATCCCTGTCTCCTTGTGACGCTTACCCGTGTTTCACTTTATTCACTTTAACGAAGAATAACATGGTTACCAAAAATAAACTTATAGCTATTAAAATCAGCACATGGATGATTATTATCTATTTCCTCGAAATACGGCATATCATGTTTGTTTACACTTGGGATTATTACAGTTACAAGTTAGTATAAATCAACTGTTTTTAACTGAATTGGTTTAACATCCGCCTCGTTCTGGGCTAAAAGTGGCAAAAATATAGTTTTTTCTGGAATGCTATCCTTATTATTTAGGTATTTAAAACCTTTTGTAGTAAACCAATGCCAGTTTGGTACCTCCAATCTGAAGCAACCTCAAATCTATGTAGTGTTATGACGATCTTTCTCGTAGACAATATTTTAATCAAATTCCTCAAGCTTCCAGCCTCCATCTGATTAATTTCGAATTCGGTTTCTGTTATTACGGCGAACTTTCTTCCATAAATATACAGTCTAAATTCTTGTGTAGCCCATACAATTGTCAAGTACTAATCCTTTTCTATGGTTGAGTAATCTTTTTTCGTTAGCATTTAAGGTGATAAACGTGATCGAATTATCCTTCCTAATCTCTCTTTGCAATAAAACTGTACCGAGACCAACATCTAAAATCTAAAGCATTGAAGTCCGGGTAGTTAGAATATCTTTGATGGTGTTGAAAGCGTTGATGAACTGGTCCGTGCGTTTAATCTTGCTATTCGTTTTTGGGCAGACTGTAAGCGGTCTCACTAATAGCAGCGTAATTTTTTATAGCCCCAAAAATAATCTAATCTACTTCATTGTTGTCGGAAAAAGTATATTTTTGATTTTGTGCATCTGTTTAAGGTTAGGTTTAAGATACTTGATGGAAATATAAATTTGGAAGCATACACAATAAAATAAGTACACACATAACCAAATACTATAAACTAAATTCAGTAATAAATACACGAAACACAAAAATGTAACTAATAACAAATCTCATAAATAAGGCGCCTTTTTCACTACATGTAAATAGCTATCGATAAAAATGGTCAAATGTTTTTTTTAATGCCTTTCGCTACAAAAACCATTCCTTTACATTCCCCTGCTCTCTAATTTTTCGCAGTATTTTTCTAAATAAAAATTTGACCATACATTTAAATATTAACTTTTAACTTTTTTATTTTATTATTTTGGTACATACTGCATTTATTGTTTAGAATGTTCCTCATTATTTTCGTTTTGTATTATACTTTTATTAGAATTTTTGTTTACATAATTTATTATTTTTCGTCATTTTCCATTTCTTTTTTATAACCGTAACCGTAACCGTAAAAGTGGAACTGAATCATAAAACATAATATACAAAAGTAGATAAATTACGCTATGTATATGATATACGTAGGTCATGAAATTGGAAAAAGGTCCTGAAGTGGGAAGGTACTCTATCAGGTACCGTTATGCGTACTGCAATTACATACTATTTTAAAAAAAACGTCTAAGATTTTATCAAATGATGAGAAAAACAATAAAAAGTAATTAACTAGCGAATTAAAACAACAATAAAAACATTTGCGGATGGTGTATGATTACAATGTTCTATTACTAAATATTTATTGTTATTTTCAGGTTCAACATTATATTCTGGTAGTACAAGCTCAAGATGCTGGTCACCCGCCTTTGTCAAGCACCGTAACTATTTATTGCAACGTTTTGGATTTAAATGACAATGCACCTTTATTTGATCCCATGTCGTACAGCAACGAAATTTTTGAAAATGTTTCCATTTCTACCGCAGTTGTTACTGTCAGCGCTACAGATATGGATTCGGGTGAGTTATAGATAAACCCTTAAAACTTATTAACACTAATCAATGAGAAATTAACAAAAAGAAACAAAAAATTAAAAGAGTATAATGTCATTATATTATTTAATTCTCATTAAAAGGGAAATATTGTGCAATAAGTAAAGAATGAAAAACTGACCCAAATTATCATAATACACTGTAGATATCCGCTGCGTATAAGTTTCTTATGTTAAATTTAGGTGAGTCTCTCTTTTTTGTCATATATTTTTAAAATTTACAGTCTCCAATTCTTTATAGAGGTTAGAAATGAAGAGGTATTAGAAAGAATAGGAGAACAGAGGACTCTATGGAAGTCAATTAGAAATAGGCGGATAGGACACCTTCTCAGACATGAGGTCTAGTCAGAGACATATTAAAGGCAAAAACAGGAGTTAGAAAGGGTAGAGGTAGACCTAGATTAGATTACTGTTCATAAATAGTTAAGGATGTGGGTTGTTCTAGTTTTAAGGAAATGCGAAGATTAGCTCAAGGTAGTGGAAGTGCGTGTCTAACCAGTCTTAGGACTGACGACCTTATGCGATAAATTCTTTATCTTTTAGTGTGCAAATTACTAGTTCAGACAATATGAGCGGTGTGGGAAGTGGGAAAAATTATTCAGATTAAATTGTTTTACGCAATTTTGTTCAAAATGTTCTTCTGCATACAACGATGTAGGTTGCCAGCCGGTAACCCGATCGGGAATTGTTTAAATTACGATTGTTTAAACAAATGGCAAAAAAGAACTTTTTTTGACCAGACTATTTTTTTTATATTCTTTGGTTTAATCTCAATAAAAAGAGTTTTTTTTTAAGTTAATATTCTTCGAGTTATGAATTTTTGAACGCCTGAATATACTTACATGAAAAACGCTATTTTCTGTTTCAAAAAGTTATTAAAAAAATATGTTTTTTATAGAAGCTAATATTTTATATATATTTAAT